TTATTAGATTAATTATGGCTGACCACAGTAATTCTGTGGACGATAAAAACATGGTAATTCTAGTAATGAATTAAAATAATTGTTATATTGTGTCTCAAAGAAGCATAAATTAGGCTCTTTTACTTTTGTTGATTGTTTCTGCTGCTACAGATCTGCAGAATACAGTTTCTTCTTTTAAAAGTGACTGAAATTTGTTCATAGACATAATTATATGATTGGCAGGTGCTGCATTGTGCTTGCATACATGTGTTGCCAGATTGCTGCTAGAATATCTTCCAGCTATTCTGCTATAGCTTCCTGCAGGAAAATACAGTATTTTCCTCATTAAGTCTGGAAGTGCCTATCAACTTTCTTGCCAGTTGTTTACTTAACCATCACCTCAAAAGATGAATCTGCAAAGCATCTATGCTAGGAGCTGCCAAGCTCCTTGATAGTCCGAGCCATTTTTCAAAATTTGAAATTTTTCGCGAGCTGCAATTAAATATACGTATTTAAAAGGTATTAAAAACATTTTATACAGAAATTATATTTATTGAAAACATATAAATAAAAGTACAAAATATGTGTATTGAATTTAAATATTAACACATATTTTTAAAATGCATTAAATTGAAATTAAATTGTTTAATAATTAAAATTAAATGCTTTATTTAAAAATTAAACACATGTATTTTACTTCTCTTGATAATTCTTTAAAATTTGGTGAGTAATTGGTGACAGTACTTCTCAGTAATTCTTTGAGATGCTGGTTAGTTAATACTGATCGGTGTTTGTATTTCATGAATTTTAAAGTGGAATAAAATGATTCACATAAGAACGTTGTTCTGAATATTGAAATAATTCGACAAGCAGCTTTTTTTAATTCAGGATACTTCGATTCTGGTGCAAATTTCCAAAATTCAGTAATCGGCATCAATTTATATTTTAATTGTAGAGCTTGATCTTCTTGCATCTCTATTAATTCTAATTCTCCAGATGCTTTTTGGATCATAATTAAATTGGAAATGGAAAACTCACCTTGAATTATGTTAATTTCAAATGGATTCAGAAAAAAATCAAGAGACGATGGACGGAAATGAAATTTGTTACAACGTTGCACTTAGTCTTTCATATTTGTTGTCTGTAATTTAAAAGAGATTTTGAAACACATACGGAATGATAATAACACAAAAATGAAAAGGAAACTGAGGTACATTTATTGAGAGCCAGAAATAATCCTTCAAAGAGCTGCAGGTTGGCCCACCCCTGATATATGCTTTTCTTGCTAGCAGGCGACAATCCCACAAACACCTTTTACATTTAATTGACCATGCATTCTATGACAACAGTTTATTCTTGTGGTATGTTCTACTACCTCTTAAAATTTGTTCTGTCTTTTTTTAAACATTGTGTATACAGTTATGACAATGTATAATAAACCTTCCATTAAATAAAATTATGCATTTTCTAGACATTAATTTCATTTTCCCCCTCTATACCCTATTTTGTTGTCGTGTCCATATTACATGGAACAATGGTTGCCAAAGCTTACTCCGAAGAGAGGTTGGACCTCTATTTTCCACCCTCAACTTTGAGGAAGAGCACTCTGGGGTGGATCCGGGGGTCTTAACCCCTCTCCCCTTCCACCAATTCACATAGAGGACTTTCGGCTTGCCACATGATTAGAGCGTCACCATGCTGCACCGACACTATACATTTACAAACATCCATGTCTTCTCCGGGATTCAAACCCATGCCCTTCGGTACAGTGGTAGGCTCCCCTAACCACTATACCATCTGAGCGACACCCTACTTTGTTAATATATTAGTTTTAAGTTGAAAGGAAAATTAAGAAGTTCATATTTGTTGCATAGTTGCCAGCTCTCCCAGTCTCCTGTAGATCATTAAATCTCTTGGTTTTTAATTTTTAGGAAGGGAAATTTTTCCTTGTAATAAATTTCACTTATTGAGTTGATGAAATTTTGGAGATTCTGTTCCTCCACCCCTAGTGATTTTCAGCATTTTTTTATTTTAAACTTCATTTGATCTGAATTGTCAATCTATTGTAAAATTTGTAAAAAGTTTTAAGAAGCTTCAGGTAGTATTTAATCAATGTTAATGTTTGTATTAAATTAGTTTTACATCATTATATTGTACACTAGCCCCTATGCGGCCAGCCTTCATGTGGCTTTTAAATGTACTGCAAAAATGCCTAAAGGGAACACCAAATATTATATTTAAAAACTGCACAGAATTTCACTCTGCAGAACAACTTTATCAAAAAAAAATCATTAAAAATGTATTATGTATTAAAAAAACTGCTATGAAATAAGCAATATATCTTAGTACAAAAAATAATTATCCTAATAAATAAATTAACCAACTTCCCGTTTCCTTCACTCATCAAATGTCCAGCATCCAAGAGAAGCATTAAATTTAAAAACTGCACAGGATTATCGCCCTCATTTTCCCACGCGATAACAGTGCTGAAAGCAGAAACAATGGCTGCCTGCCATTGTTGCTGATATAATGAGAGAGAATTATTGATTTGATGCAATTTCATCAAAAAACATAAAATTTAAAAAAAACTCATTTGAATTTTGAAAAAATCTCTTCAAGGTGCACTGGCTGTTGTCTAGATGCACCTATGTATCCTATTTCATAGCCGTGGGTCTATTAGCTTTATGCGCAGTATGAACAAAAGATAGACTCTTCCTTTTATACATATACTAGCAGCTTCGCTGCCAGTCTTCGTCTGGCTTTTAAATGTACCGGAAAAATGGCTGAAGGGAACATCAAACCTTAAATTTAAAAACTGCATAGAATTTTACTCTGTAGAACAACTTCACAAAAAAAGTTATTACGTATAACAAAACAATAAAATAAGCAATATCCCTTAATACAAATATTAATAATCCTAATAAATAAATTAACCAACTTCCCTTTGCAAAATCTTAAGAACTCAAATGGTATAAAGGAGGTTAAGAACTTTTTTTCCTAAAAAATCACTCAAAATTTTCAATATCTTCAAAACAGTGAAATGAGCAATAAATAACATAAAAGAATACAAAAAATTCTGAAAAGCAAAGTATAATTAATGATATCTTATCTTATATTTTCAAGAGAAAAATATAATGAAATAAGCTATACCCCTTAATACAAATATTAATTATCCTAATAAAAAATTAACCAATTTTCTGTTGAAGGGAAAAAAAAAAAAATGCAAAACTTTTCAATATCTTACAAACAGTGAAATATGCAAAAAAATAACATGAAAGCAACTCAAAAAACATAAAATTCCACACAGAATTTTACTCTGCAGAACAACGTTATCAAAAAAATCAATAAAAATGTATTTTATATATATATAAATGACAATGAAATATGTCAATCTCTTAAAAACAGTGACATAAGAAATACAATGAAAAATTGTTGCCAGACCCATATATCTAAAAGAATGAAACTATTGAAAATGATGCGATTTCATCAAAAATCTATCAACAACAATAAGACAGGAAAATTGTTGCCAAAATCAGATTTTTAAAGATGTGAGAAGTATACTCGGAAGCTTTATTTAAAAAAAAATTTTTTACAAAATATTTTTCCAAAATTCTTTTTGTAAAAGCAGTCGCAAGGGTGAAAGTTTAACGTGTCCAAAAATCAAAGAAAAATAAACTGTACATTTTTAAAAAATAAACCTTTTTAGAAAAAATATCGTTGAAAAGGTGTTAAGCTCCATTTGTTAAATAAATTTGTATTTAATCGATTTATTGAAACACAAAATTTATTTTAAGTTCGTACAATAGCTAAGTGCCTGCGTTTCATGAGGATGTGAAAATGGAGTGTGTAGAGTAAAATCTTGCTTTCCTACAGCCCATTATGTCTCAAAATGATGCAATTCCATAACAAAACATAAAATTTAAAAAATTCTAATTCGAATTTCGAAAAAATCATTTCGAGGTGCACTGGCTCTTGTCTAGATGCACCTATGTACCAAATTTCGTAGTCGTAGTATTAGCTTACGCTCAGCGCGAACAAAAGACACACACACACAGACAGACTCTTTCTTTTATTATATGTAGAGATATAAAGAGAGATTACTAAGTTTCTACACAATAGCATCTACAATAATTATTAATTTTATGTTCATTATATATAAAAGTGCAGTAAAAACATTTGTTCCAAGATTTTTTCAGTAAAAATGTTTAAGAAAATTACAAAATAAAATTAGCGAAAGAACATAAAATTTAGATATCTAAGTAGATGTTAATAAGTTTTACATCAGAATGATATTGCAAGTAGTTAAGTAACCTGAATCATGCATTATAATATAAATTTAAGTCAATTTAGAATTCTTTTGAATGTTTTTACTATGTAGCATGGAAATTTCTCTGGAACTTTTGTTTTTCATATTTTGATGCTGCTTGCTATGTTCTTGAAAAGTGGTGTGGTCACCTTTCTTAACTATTTTATGTATGTGCATTATCATGAATATAAGTGACACGTAAGAGTTTGAAATTCTGAAGTATATGCTGCGAATCAAACCTTGTTAATATTCTAATGTTTTTATGTGTTGCAGAGATTATTTTCATTGTAAATTTTATGAAACTTCTTGTCTAAAAATGTCCTGCAATTTTGTTTAAATCAGGACTGAGAAAAATAAGAAAATGTTTTATTTTCATTTGCTTTATATGTTGTTGAATTAAAATAAAAATTATGCAGCCATCTCTGCTGCCATGTATGTTTTGTTAATGCAAGTACAAAAGTACCATGAGACCAAGTGTACTCAGTGCTATTTTTTAAAATCCTTTTGTTATATTATTTCAGAGCTTTTAAATATATAAAGCTTTTATACTATTACTCGTCAGTAGTTGGCTATAGCTATGCATGCTACTGTTGTCTGTAAACACAGTCTTGAAACTGAAACTGGTTTAATGTATATAATAAAAGATAATGAATCAATTTTATGCTTGTATTTTATTGTACAATATCTATATTTCTCCTTTTTTCAAACTTTCTAGAGCTTCTCTTGTTCCTGTGTTTGGATTTGGGGAAAATGATTTATTTGATCAACTAGACAATCCACCTGGATCTTCATTACGTAAAATACAAGACAGGTTGAAGGCATACCTTGGGTTTTCTCTTCCTATTGTTCATGGCCGTGGTATATTCCAGTATAATTTTGGTATGCTACCATACAGGAAGCCTATTAATGTTATAAGTAAGTTTCACATGAAAACTTCGTGATTACTGTAAACTGATGCTGATATTCATTTTGTTGTTAGACCTTAAAAATGATAGATTTGTATTTGAGCTCTTCTTTTGAAGCATTCTAAATATTGTACTTAAAAGTTTTTTATTGGGAAAATTATAATGTGTTAAAATTCTGTGATAAAATTTAGTATAGAATTCAAGTTTTATAAAATGTTGTTAATGTAAATGAATTTAGTTTCTTTATGTATTTGTATTTTCATTCCGTTTTTTAATATGTATGGCATTTGTTCATTGCATGATTTCATATGGTTTATGGAAATGTTTTATTTAATTCCCTAGCTTTGTCAAAATATATAGGAAATCAGTTCAGTTGTTATTAATTTAATTTGTTTCTAACCATGCAATTTAATTGTGTTTTAGGCATAATTTAGTTTTTAATGGTGCAGTATTCTTAGCATCTTAAGTAAATACAGTACAAAGTCCAAAATACGTACTCGTCGGGACTTCGGCGATTCTGGATTAGGGATTTTTCCGAGTATTAAATCATCAGTTTTAAATCTAGTAAGATGGCATATAGAAATTATAAAATTAAAAATATGAAATCATGATTTAGCAAATAATGAAGTATTTATGATCTAAAGAGTATCAAAATTTACAAAAAAAGCTTAATATTTATTTACCTTATTAAATATTTCTTTCAATGCAAGTTGTTTAAGTTGCTTCGTTTTTTGTGCTAATACCTTCTCTTTAATTCTGTAGACATACATAATCTCTTGTTTAGTTACATTGTTGAAGTCCTGTAACTGCTGTTTTGAAAATTCCGACTAACTTGTCAGTTGAAATTTTCTCGTTTTCAGTAATTTCACTGTCACTTTCTTCAATATTGGTAGCATATTTTCTGGATCTAGAACCGTACTAGAGATGTCGCCATTCATTAATTGATTGATGATTGAGAAGCATTGTCATCACAATGAAGAACTTCTTTTGTATCATCTTTATTTATTACTGCTTCTCCACATTTCTTTACAAAATCCGTTAATTAGAAAATTTCACCTTTGTGTTGCGATATTCGAAAACCTTTAACCTGCAGGAAGGTGTGTGGTGTGTGTCATACCCCACCCCTACATAAAAGTTGAATATTCCTAACTTGTGAAACTGAAATTCTGTGCTGCATTCAGTAGCTGAGTTTCTAGTTGTGGTTGACTTTCAGAACAGCTTTTTCTTTGCCTGTGTGTTTCAGAAACAGATTTATCGGTATTTTGTTGGAACTGGAACATGACACACCCCACGCGCCTGTCCGCGTAAGTGTTTTTCTGACCGAATAATTAGTTCAGAAATTTATTTCTGGAGTGTAACAGTAAATATTTCTACTTGCAAGTGATTTTAAAGTACTTGACATTAAATTCTTGAAAATTTCTAACCACATTATCGTAAAAAGAATGACTCCTTATGAATTGCAGATGCAACGCCTGTGATATTTATTAGAAATATTTGAAAGCGATGAAGATTGCATTTCGGAAACTGAAGATGAAACTAGGAATATTTTCTACAGTGTTTTCCTTTCGAAAAAGATAAAGCATTAATTTCTAATGTTCCTAAAAAAGGAAAAACTGTTCTTATGCTTTCAACATTACATAACGATCATACTATAGATGATACTATTGGAAAAAATAAAACGTCAGGAATTATATGTTTTTATAATATGGCTAAAGGAGCAGTGGATATGGGGTCAGCCAATTATTCAGTTGCCAGAATAACAAGGAGCTGGCCAATGATAATTTTCTTTCCTGCTCTGAATGTTGCTGTAATAAATGCTTGAATTATATTACATTCAACTGCTAATTCACCAACCAGAAACAGAAGTCTGTTTTTGAAGAACTTAGCATTACAATTAATGAAATTGTAATGCTAATGTATTGAACAAAGATCAGAGATTAATACTTTACCAAGAAACTGACGTACTGCATACAAAACAAAAGCAGAAGTTTCCACGAAGAATTAAAACGAATACATGAAATTCGAAACAACCAAGTATGAAAGATGTGGTAAATTGCCCTCGTGCCAAGGACAGAAGAACGTGAATGCAAAGTTTAAAATGTGAAAACATTCTGTGCCAAGAACACATGAATGATTTCGTTCAAAGTGTGAAGAAATAAAATAAGCATTGTTTATTAGAGATACAATGAAACTTAGAGGCATGATGTTTATTTTTTATTTATTTTCATTTATCTTAATTTTAAGTCTAAGATTATTTTGGAAATTAATTTTTTGAAACCCAATTATTATTCACGTATTTATAGTACACGAGAACAAGAAAAACCGCTTAAAACTAAATAAAACTATTTTTATCGTATTTTAAATATTGGGGTATGTGATACCCCACGCGCCCACTCTAGTAACTTTTCTTGGTGCGACTTCCGCCGGGTTAAATTTAGCAGCTATCATCATTAAATTTAGCTTTCCTTCACTATACATATTTGGCTATGGATCATGAGCTGGGCGACTAACGACAAGTTGTTCCTTTAAATTTTTATCTTGCTTCTATCGTGCACTGAGACAATTATGCCTGAATTGTATTAGTTTAGTTGTTTATTATACTTATGTCTACTTCTTGCACATGCTTAAGGCTTATCATATTTCTGAATAAATAAATTCTCACATATACTTAAGCCTTATTGAGGGCTGGCGCTAGATATCTTATCGCCTGATGCAGTCTTTGTGGGTGCTAAATTCTGCGACGTAGTGTGGCCATACGAGCCCTGGCGCTGGTTCTGGGTAAATAACAAATCAGTTATTCTTAATTCAAATAGCCCTAAATGTAATCTATGGGTCTATGAGTGTCATCAACAAAATCTATTTTTAGCATATGAAAAGAAATTTTTGATAAATTTTTCATCAACTTTTTTTAGCACATTTAACTTAAATCTGTAATCATCGCCAAGCGTAATGTCAACATAAAAGGTTACCGTACTCCTTTATTAGTCAATTACTAACATAAAAAAAATTTTTAGGCATCATTACATGAGTCATTACTCAAGTTGTATTGTTTTGATAAACATGCGGTGATGAAAGGAAAGTATATTGAATAGGTTGGCATCAAATCAATGATGTATCTATGTGGAATGTTTCGGTTTCAGATGTGTGCCAAAGCGAAGCCAAATTACTGATCGTACAAATTTATGCTAAAATGATGTTTCTTCAATAATAAGGTATTTTATTTAGTGTCGAAGTGAAATTAAAAATTGGGACTCTCCAGATGTTTTACTATGCGTGGAGGGGGGAATTAAATGCGCATGCATAAAGCCTATGAGAAAAACGTTTTTGGTGGTTTTGAGGTCCGAATTTTTCGATCATTCCAGATAATGGACGTCCGGATTTCAGACTTTGTACTGTGTCTTTTAAATGGCAACTTTTAATTCTATTACTGGTAGGATACGAGTTAAACATGTACATTAAAAAGAAGCTAGATTGAGATTCAGACCCACGGTTTGGGTTTTTCTTTAGCTGCTTGGTTTCAAAATACCACTTACTTCTCAGTCTCTTCCACATTTTACAAATTTTTCCTTTTTATGAAAGGTCTGCTAAAATGTCTATGATCATCACTCAATTTTAGGCAATTGTTCATTATCAAAGTAATAATTATATCAAGGTATGAAATTTAATTATTATTTTCATAAATATGCAATAGTTGAATTATGTTTTACATTTAAATAATTTTAGCACTTCTTTCATTGCAGTTTATGGAAATATATATATAAGTAATCTAACACCAAACTAACCTTAATTTTACTGTAAAGATTCAAGTCAAGTCTAGGTTTCAGTAGATGTTAGGAAGACTTCCAGAATGTGCGGAAAAGGTTGTTTTCCTAAGTGGCCTCAAGTTGCTGTTATTTGTCAGTACTTAGGAGTGGTGTCAATACTCAAAAGGTTAAGAAGATTTCATAGAGCAATCTTTTTCTAAATTAAAAAGATTTAAGATTTTATCATAAATAAACATTGTCTAATATAATGTGTCAAAATGCTTTCCATTTAAATGGAAATCTGATCTCAATTAGCATCTTCTATAGCATTTCCAGAATCTTGACTGGTTTGTAATGCAGGTTTCATTTTAAAGAAGATGCATCAATAGGTATCAAACCTAGAGTTTTGTTAAGAATTTTAATATTAATGAAAATGTTGCAGTGGTATTTGAATAAGTCTCATTATGCCTAATTGTTGTAATAGCAGAGTTGTGCTTCTGATCTAATTTAATTTCAGTTCTTTAAGTGAGGATGTGTATGTAATGAGATTTTGCAGAAACTTCCAGAATGTCATCAAATGGGCCATAAATCTCCAACATAGTTACAAATATTTTTCACAAGCATGGTAGGAAAGTTTCTGCTGATATCTTTGGCTCTACCTGAACTTTCCTGGCATTTCAGGCATTAGTCAACTTAGAATTAATAGATTTAAAACATAATGCATTTAAAAGAGAATGTGTGTTTTAGTTCAAAATTAAATACCTAATAAGCAAACACAAAATTACCATACAAAAAACATAATCCAAAAATCCATAAAAACCAAATTACAAGCAAATAACCACAGGTATTCCTTACGTACTTCAGTTCCCAAGACCATGGAGGTGTAACCTTCATTACCATAATAGGGAGAAAATCTTACATAGTGTTCTATTTCAGGTTTTAAAGAGTTCTTATTACTTGTTCTGAATTTTTTGTCCAATTTGGTAGCAATAATTTATAATATACAATTCGTTTGTTGTCTTTCGTAAACAAGGCAGTACCTTTTCAGAACATAAGCTGCCTACTCGATTTTACTGAGGAAGGTTCATTTGGCTTACCCCATGATCTGTTTTGTGGGGTCACATTATAGTAGTATCCACTTTAGTCCAATAATTAGCCTTTTTAAAAAGGAACTTCTTTTTTCATTTCAGCAAAGAATCGCATATCAAAATTCAAGCTAACATATTCTGCTTTGTTAAAGTATGGTATGCCCATAAATCTTAGCAGC